TCGGACTGCGGCCCGTAAACGGACGCCTTCTAAGGCGACTTTGGCTGACGGTAAGCCGGCGTCTCGGAGGAGGCTACTGGTTGGCGTTGTCCTCCAGACAGGTAGAGATCCGAGCCGGCTTCGAGACGCCGCGGAGACAGCACGAGTCCGCCTTTCCAAGGAAGACCCGTCAACACAGGCCAGAAGGGGCTCGTGCAGAAGATCGACAGCGTCATTACAGCGGCAGCAAGGATCGTTCTACCTGTCTGGAGGACAACGCCAACCAGTAGCCTCCTCCGAGACGCCGGCTTACCGTCAGCCAAAGTCGCCTTAGAAGGCGTCCGTTTACGGGCCGCAGTCCGACTACAGAGGATTGATCGCCGACACCCGCTAGTCGCGCGGCTCTCCCAGCAGGGACAGCAACAGACGAGACTACAACGGACGGCTGAACTTCTGCCAAGATGCGGAAGACCAACGTTCCTCCAATCACAGTACCTGCCAAGCTCACAGGATCAGATAGTAGTTCAATGCAAAGAAGAGGCTGCGAAAGCTTTCGAGCGCTGGCTAAAGACAGTACCGGAAAGCCATATGATCGTCTTCTCGGACGGCTCCAGGGCGACGAACGGAGCCGTGGGGTACGGCTTCGTCATCTACCGAGACTCCAAACGCATAGCGCAAGGGTGCGGCCGACTCGGACTAGCAGAAGTGTTCGACGCCGAGGTCGAAGGGGCGCGAACCGGCCTCAGAAGGGCTCTGCTCACCAATCGCGGTCATCCAATCCACATATGTATCGACAACACCAGCGTTATACAAGGCATCCGCGGCAAGGCGCCGGACTCGTCACAAGACGCGTTCCTCGAAATCCAAGAAGCGGCCAGGATATTTGATATACGGACGCACTGGTCCCCGGGACACCAGGGCATCGAAGGAAACGAGGCCGCGGACCGGCTGGCCAAAGAAGGAACGACACTGCCGGCGCGGATGGGTCAAATGGCAACACTAGCGGGCATCAAGCGGCTTGCAAGGGAAAAATTACAAAGCCAGCACAGGAGATGGTGGTATAAAGAGCGAAGGCCGCGGTACGCGGACTTGGGGCTTGAGGCAGCTCTGTCCAGCCCTCCTGAACTGGCCTTGCCGCGGGCTACGTTACATCACCTGCTGGCGGCACGATCGGGTCACGGGGACTTCGAGCAATATCACCGACGTTTCAACCACGACGACGCTCTAATGATGTGCTCTTGTGGAGAGGCGAAAGACGTGGACCACCTGGTCTACTGTCGACTAACGCTGGCGAGGAGGCAACGGTGGCCGACCCTCCACTCTCGCAGTATGCCCGAGCCCATAGGTCCTATGGGATCTCTCGAGGCCTACTTCAAGAGATTAATCACCGACCCACGAGGCTTCGAGGCCTTTCTCCGCGTGACGGACTTCTTCCAGAAGATCTGTCTGCGGTAGCAGCATCCACACCTAGGTAGATGTGAGTGCGGACTACAAAGAACCTCCCGATTCCAAGGGACGATTTGGGAAAGAATGAAACTGGGGCACCAGCGGGAACCGGGGACAGACAGAACGCGTAGTGGCCACAAGGCATGATTTGGAGGACGATGTAAAGAGACGACGTACTGTAGAGTAGGTAGCCTTGGCTCACGGCCCTCCACGCCATATACCCTTCGGGAGGTCTGCGGTAAGGGCTCTAGCCCGGCCGCCACGGCGTTAAATACAACAACAACAACAACAACATGTACGCTAGTCAAGGACGTATGGCGCTATGGAGATCTCCAAGCTAAACCTCGCGACGATGCTTTGATGAGGAACGTAGAAGGTTCGAACAGCTTGACCGTATAAAGACAGAAATTCATGATGAAATGACAGCTCCTCGGACCGACCTGAACGCTCAATTATCCCGAACTCCTTCCACGATATCCGAAACTACAACTGGAACCTCAAACTTCGCCCGGCCTCGGATGAAATAATAAGCAAGGCCGAAGACTAACCAGCCTGCCATGACAACAGTAGAATAGTTCATGTTTTGGGCAGTGACCGGTTGTGATGAAGGGAAAGTGCTGAAAATGATGACAACAGTCATCCAGACAAGACTGATCGCATTCAAGACCGGCCCTACAACCGGGCCCAACCTAAAAGGCCCATACTCCTTGCGAGTGAGCTTGCCCCTGCCGACGAACAACATATATGCAATAGGAATACTGTAGGAAAGATATATGCCGATAATCGCCATAGATAAAACTGCATTAAAAGCAGTAGTGTTGGCCAAGTAGAGAAAGCCGAGAAGAATCTGGGCCATAGTAACAAAGACTATTGAAGTTACTGGGACCTGAAGTTTCTTGTTGACGTAACTAAAATGCGAGTCGAATGGAACAGCTCTGTCTCTAGCGAAAGCCCAGAGCGTGCGAGACGCGGAGGTAATGCCGCCTACTGTTGCAGCGATTGCGATCAAGATCACTAGGAGCGAGAGCACTGTCGCCCCAGCCCGAGATCTGGTGACATCGAGATAAATCTGCATGAAGGGGAAGCCGGTTGGTGTAGTCAAGAGGGACTCCAGTGATCCTGTCGAGAACAGGAGGACTGTGCAGTAAATGAAGCCCATCAGGCCATTCACAGTTACGCTTCCGACCATAGCAATGGGGACATTTCGTGGGGCGTTGGGAATCTCCTCGGCCATGTGACAAGCAGCGTCGTACCTTTTGTAAATCAAGTCAGCAACCCTTTGAGGGGACCATAGATGGAAAGATAGTTTATAGAGGAAACTGACCCAAGGAAAGGATACACCGCGCTAATCAAGCCCACGAGCCACGACACACCATCATTCTCCCAGCCACTACTGTTGACAACTTCGGTGAAGACAAAAGACGCGGTATTTTTGGGAGCCATGACGCCAAGGACCACCAGTATGACTACGAAGCCCACAACGTGGAGAATGCCTTGGCATTGTCAGCGAGAGTTCGCGTAAATAGACTTTAGATTTATTCCTCTTGTCTTCCTTACCTGAGATCATGTTTGCATGGGGCAGCATCTTTGATCCCCAGATGTTGAGCGCCGCTGAGTATAGGAGCACAGCCCAGTAGAACAACATGCCCTGCCATCGTGCCGGTATGTAAGAGTCGTCGTTGATGACGATCAAGGACTGGGTCTGCAGGCCAGCTGCAAACGCCGCTGATGCACAGAAGACAATGAGACCGCCCACGGAGATCCAACCGGTCGTGAAGGCTGCGAGTGATCGGCTACGAGGGGGACACAAGGCGGCGACCCAATGATACTGACCTACAATGGAGTGATTAGCTTTGAGAAGGTAGGAGCCAGGGTTTTCAGGGAAGCTTACCTCCTGCAGTAGGATAGATTGACGCAATCTCGCCAAGAGATGATGCTATGCACACAGAGCACAGAAAGGAAAGAACACTGAGCAGATTGTCAACCCATGTTCGATGACTCGAAAGTTCTCCACTGCGTGACAGAAACAGACTCGAGTGGTTGACATCAACTTACAAGTTGTAGAATAGGCATGGCGCACCGCCATTCAGCAGTGCTTGGGCAATGACAGTGGAAAGTGCTTCCCACGTTGCCATAAGACATAGGCATAATGCCCCCAAGGTTGTCAAAGAGAATTGTCGCTTCAGCTCCTGCTGATGGCCGAGTTGCGCGAGACGTTCTTCATCGGAAAGGACTAGATAGCCGGGGATGCTATCAACTGCCTTAAGCTGGTCGTCGGTCTTTGTTTCATTCTGATCCATGATGGAGTTTCGAGCCATTCTGTCTGTGTCGCTTCTTGCTGTTGGGTGTTTCCTACCCAACTTTGTCTGCTTTCTTCTTATTTCTTTTCGAGTCCGGAACACGGAATTAGGGCACCGGGCACGGCGGACGCAGAATTTCGAAGAGAAAGGGGATGTGACAAACTGATAGTCACGCGGGTATGTCGGGGATTGGGATTACCCAGCGCGGATTATCCGAACCAGTCTGGCTTTGATGATGCGGCAGCAGCGGCACAATGCCTAGCAGAATAACTATTGCTAATGCTTTGATCTTAACAGGCTCTTGGTGTTTCTAGTTGGATGGGAATCGTGTTCAGGGCTGAGGAATTGGTGATGGTGCCTGGTGGCGGCGCTTGACCTTTCTCGTCGAGAAGCGAGATATTGAGCATGGGCGATTTCCGCATTCCGAGAGAGGGCAGTTGGGGTTTGGGGGGCACCAGATGCAACACGCCTCACAGACTCAGTAAACAACAGTGAGCAGCCCCCTCCGTGATCGACGAGAGGCAAGGTCCTGATATTGCAGAAATGTTCGACACCAACGAAGAGTAAGGTAGGTATTTGGTGATATGATTGGTCATTTGTGATGATGCCGGCCATCCTTGTACAGAGAACCACCAAATCTGCTGAACGTGTCTTTGTTCACTGCCTGACTCATGGCGAAAGATAAGGAACCGCTACGATATCTTTACTCTTACCTTTGACACGTCTTCCTGCCGTATCTAGTTGGAGTTGAGAAAATAGGGGAATCAATCCAAGCCACGTTTGGCATCCGACTTTCAAGCAAGGCAATGCTTGCTCATGTCATATTATCGGCACTGGAGAGGTCTAAAGGTCCAGGGAAAGGTTCGGGAACGAAACTGCTTGCTACTCGGAACCCCATAGCTTCCGCTCGGAACGCACCCCGCATTCTCTGCAAGCCATCCCGACGTTCCGTGCGGGGGTTATACCCTTGGCTGCATCTGCAAAGCGACCTGGGGGTGGGGAACGCGGGGAATTAGTGTACTTTGTAATAAACCAGTTCCGAGAGGTCTGTTTCCAGATGGCGGTTTGCCAGGAAGGACAGTACCGACGGGACCCGGCAGGAAAGCTTCTGATACTCAGAGAGCGGCTCTGAAGCCGGGTAAGTACGGCGAGCTGGGTCTGTCCGTATATCATGGAGGTGGTGGTTAGCTAGCGAGTTCGAGTTATGGATCAGATTTACAACACAATTCATCGTCTACAACACGTTGAAGCACAGAAACATCTCAATTCGACGCCATGGCCATCTCAACTGCCATCTTTGCTTTGAAGCAAAGAATATTCGACCATGCTCTGCAGTCGACTGCCATCTCAATTCTCCTTCTGCCCCTCATCTACGTCATTGCAAATGAATTCATCCGCTCCAAGGCCAGGATAGCGAAGCTAGACGGTCCTGGAGGGCTGCCACTCATCGGCAACTTGTGGGATATCCGGGTCAACGCGGCTGAGCAGTACCGTAAATGGGCCAAGAAGTTTGGCTCTGTCTACCAGATTCAACTGGGCAATGTTCCTGTCGTCGTCGTGAACTCTGCTTCTGCGGCCAGGGCTCTCTTCGGACAGAATGCCCAGGCACTCAGTTCTCGCCCAGAGTTTTACACTTTCCACAAGGTATGTCAGCAGATGATGACATAGCATGGTGTTTGAGTCCAATACCTTAGCAAAGAGGCTGATGGAAGGAAACTAGGTTCTCTCAGATACTGCTGGAACGACCATCGGCACATCTCCCTACAGCGACTCCCTTAAGCGTCGCCGCAAAGGTGCTGCTTCGGCCTTGAACCGACCCTCAGTAGCAACCTATGTGCCGCATCTCGACGTCGAATCGCGGGACTTCATCAAGGAACTATACGAATATGGGAAGGCTGGACAGGCTCCCGTTGACCCTATGCCGATGATCCAACGCCTGTCGCTGTCTCTTGCCCTGACCCTGAACTGGGGTACTCGCATGAGCAGCCAGAAGGATAACCTCTTCAAGGAGATCACTCACGTCGAGGAGGAAATCAGTCGCTTCCGTTCAACTACGGGCAACCTCCAAGACTACATCCCTCTCCTGCGTATCAACCCTATCAACATGCACTCCGCCAAGGCACGAGAGATGCGCAGCAGACGCGACGTCTACTTGACCGCTCTGAACAGAGGTCTGGATGAGCGCATGGCGAACGGCACTCACAAGCCTTGTATCCAGGCCAACGTCATCATGGACAAGGATGCGAAGCTGAACCAGGCGGAGCTGACCTCCATCAGCTTGACAATGCTGTCAGGAGGACTCGACACCATCACAACTCAGGTGGCTTGGTTCATCGCCATGCTTTCTCAGCGCCCAGATATTCAAGACAAGGCCGCGGCGGCGATTAGAGAATTCTACAGCGAGAAGCAACCTCTCTGCGACGCCGAGGATGACCAACAGTGCAAGTACATCGTTGCTTTGGTGCGAGAATCTCTGAGATACTACACTGTCCTTCGCCTCGCTCTTCCCCGAGCTTCGGTTCGTGATGTTCCTTACGGACAGACCGTTATCCCCAAAGGATCAGTCATCTTCCTCAACGCGTGGGCTTGCAACATGGGTAAGACATCTCCTTCTCCGTGAGCCTTATTTCTCAAGGACTTCAATAACACCCCACAGACCCTGAAGTATGGACTGACCCCGAGGTCTTCCGCCCCGAGCGGTGGTTCGAGCAACCCGACGCGCCGTTGTTCACATACGGCGTCGGCTATCGCATGTGCGCTGGCTCTTTGTTGGCCAACCGCGAGCTCTACCTCGTCTACATGAGACTTCTCAACAGCTTCAAGATTGAGAAGCATGATGATGTGGACCACCATCCCGTTTCTGGCAACGCCGATCCTACTTCCCTTGTAGCGATGCCTAGGCCGTACAAGGCGAGATTTGTGCCTCGCGATACTAGCACGTTGAGTAATGTGCTAAAGGCAACCGAAGAGAAGGCGTAATGGATTTTTTGTTGGAGAGCTGATGGGCAATAGTGTATGTGAAAGTTCTGTAAGCGAAAGAGAGGAGAGGGGGCAGGGAGGAGATGAGCTTGGCAGGAAGTTTCGAGTTAGATAGGGGATGAATACCAAATGCAAGACTTAGTTCAAATGAAGATATCATTTCACACTCTCAGTAACCACGATAAGACCGAAGAGTTACTTCACTCAATTAGGACGTTCAATCATACACACTAAGATCTTGAAATGCTAAGGCTCAATGCTTCCGTTCCCCGCAGCCCTGCTCACTGATAATGCAATTTCGCGACCCATCTCTGCCAGAGGCTGCGACGAGTAGCCGTGATTTTCCATTCACCAAGACTTGTGCTGAAAAAGTCCTTGGTCGATTCCATAAAAGTAGTCTAAATCAAACCCCAAAAGTGACGCGAAATCTCCTCCTCTCCAGATAATGGTGGCTGCTGCTCGTCACCTCCCACGCATTCCTGCATCCCATTTGCCCATATATCTTCAGTCTGCCCAAAAGCGTCGAAGAGGAACATCAAGTCGTTGCTGAGAGCAAATGCATCTGGGGCTCCAGCACCGAACTCTGCACTCATACCCATGGGTTGTGCTGATGGCATAGTCGCAAAGTCCGAGCCCAACCCCACAGCCGACGTGGGATTTTCTTCTTCAAGCACCGTGTCCATGGGGTGGGAAGAACTGGGGATGATGTTCAAAGATTGTTGCTCGCCTGGATCAGCACGTCGACCACCAGCATTTTCATCACCGCGGAGCCCGATGCGATGCGCCAGGGGCAAGAGACCCCGTATGCTCTTCCACAGCCTGCGGCTGGCTGTGCCCTGGCGAGAGAAGCACTTGACGAGCTCGACCGCGGCGAGGAAGCTGTCTCTGCATGGCTCGGCAAAGATCCTAGTGCCATGGCAGACAGCGAGAAAGATGACCGCCAAAGAACTCAACAGAAAATAGTTGAACGCGCTCTGCTGCCGTTCGTATATATCGCTCGTTTCGCTCAGATGAACCAAGACGGATATGCTATCGATGGCAATATCCACGACAAGACGGGCCTTCTCGACATCAGCTTCGATGCTTGCGGAGCTAATGACATGATGTCGATGTATCAGAGTTCTTATGTGGTTGCCCCGTAAGTACAGGAGGGCTCGCAGCCGGCGGATGGAGCGGGGCTGAGCTGTCGGTATACTACCCTGTTGCGGATGGCGTAGTTGAAGATCAGGGGGTATTGAGTTGAGCCAAGTTTGCGCTGTGAAGTCAAGGAATGCAACCGTGTCTTTTGGGATAGACTGAGATGGTGCGCTAAATGGTGGTAAAGCGTCCCATGCCTTGGAGCATAAACGTCCGTAACCTATCAAACAACGAAGGTACTGGAAATCTTCAGACTGAGACTAAGGTTAGTCAAGACACTTTCTGTGTACAGGTAGAAAGACTCACTGGCTCAGGCAAGTTTGGATCGATATCTCGGTCAAAGAGGGCAAAGGATAGACTGGTTCCGAAACTCCAGCGACGATCCAATACGTAAACGCACCAGAACACCCGCACTGCTAGACTCCGCGTCTTGGGGTCTGGGAAATTGTCTGTGAGACTTAGGTTCTGGTGCAAGCCCATCTCTAAAGACGCTCGCGCTGCAATGCCGATGTTTCTCCATGCGAGTAGCTCTTCATCTGAGAAAAAGTAGTAAATACTCTTTTATCATGTCAGCCACTTCTGCTATCAGGTTAACGAGTCTGTCGTACTCACAATCATAGCCATTATTTGAATGACTTTGAGATCAGCCTCCGCATCGAGAGTAAGCTGGTAGATCAGGTGTTTGACAGGTTCAACTAGCTTGCTGCTTGATTGGTTCTTTCCGTGTGCCTCTACCACCATGCTTATGGCGATAGCTACTTTTGCGAGAATAACATCTTTGATGTCTACACCTGCGCTCGATGTGGCACCAGGTACCACGAAATCCGTATTGGCTTCCACGTACGCACGAATATCTGCTGCTTTCGAAATCATCTCACGGGTGTCGATAAAGGGGTAGACGATCTCAACCTCTTCCTCAAAAACTTCAAGAAGCCTCACGAATTCTTCAAGCGGCAGAGTGAGAAGAATTTCTGTTCCAGGTGCCCACTGTGGGGGTTCAGACTGCTCGGGGGTTGGGTATCGGGTCGGCGCAAGAGACTCGCTGACCGCTGCCGTGACCGGGTCCTGAGCTGAGATCCCCATCCTCGTTAATGACGTTTCGGCAACCTTGAGACTGAACGCTGATCTGGTGGGTCCCACAAATTGTGGTTGCTTCGGTTCTTGTTCTCCCTGGACAGAAGAGTTGTCGTGAAGAGACATCTGTTGCTGGGATCCTGGAGAAGCTGACATTCCCTGACGGCTCTTATCCGAGGCCAGCTTTCCTACGGTATTTGCGAGAGTAGCCACCTGCTCTCTGAGCATGGAAAGCTCGCTCCGGAGATCAGTACTTGGCTGACTATTGATACAAATTAGCATTATGAACAAAGCTGACTTGGACGAAGGGATTCGCTGACCTATTTTGCCTCGATTTCCTCCTACTTCTAACCCTTTCCCTTACACCAGTCCCGCCTTCTTGTGAAGGGGGCGGGCCGAATGTGCATGGAACGCCGCCTGACATGCATCTCTGGCATTCTTCCGCATTTTCCAATCTAATGCACTTGAGCTTCCGCTTCTTGCATTCGGTGCTATGACACAGTCAGATTCCCAATTCCAGTCTATGAGATTCAGATTTACGTACCAAGCGGCAGCTGCATATTTGGCACGCTTAGACCTCGTCGGATGCGTCGAGCCAGCCACCGACCTTCTGCGCGCCCCCGATGTTGTCGTAGGAGACTGAGCTTCTTCGTTGCCTGACAGTTCAAAGTCCTCGTCTTCTCCCATCATCGTGAAGGGTTCTCTTGGATCGCAAAATGCGTCGCGGAAACAAGTGAATATCTGGCCAGGAAGTTGGCCACCGTTAGAGTTCGCGGGAGTTGCGCTGCACCGTGACTCGACAGGCTGGGGGAAGAGTGGGGGTTAAGTACGAAGTCTGCTACCCCCGAATACCGACTGGGATCCGGGCTCCGGCACATTTCCCCGCATGTGCTACCCGCACCCGCCTTGCTTCGTGGGGTTTGGTGAGCCACCAATATCGCAGCAATTACTCAGTGGCATTCTGCGTCTTTGTTGAGCGCAACTCCAGAGACTTTGGGGGCTTACAATGGGATAATGCGATTCAATTAGCACAATTGACATTACCCGTATGGATTAGACAGACAATTTGGATTTGAAGGGGTCACAGCTACCTAATACCAATTTTACACACCACACTATGTTGATGCAACCTCAATTACTCATTAAGTTGCCCACGGAACGGTTCCGAAGCCGTAAGCTACAGATTAGCATAAGGTACGCTTCCGTTTCTTCACAATGCAGCACTTTTCGCAGCTTCAAGACCACAAATTATAATTTGAAAATCATTCAATCACCGGTACTCAACTATGATCAGATAAATCTTGCCTACTCAGATTTCTGCGAGAATTGAAAAAGAAAACTCCATGAATCTTCAACCTCGTCGCCAGATCAAGTTCAGATGTAAAGGGCCAATTCCACCGTCACTGGACCAACGATCACGAATAAAACCTCCACGGCCACCTCTACAAAAGAATAAGTCATTTGCAGCGCTACGCATACGTATTCACGCTAATGATCGGCATGAATGAGAAGATGGTCAAAGGATAGGCTTGCTTCCGAACTGCGTGACGTTAGGTAGCATTATCTCAAGTAGAATAAGTTGTGACAGAACACGGAAGTATCGGACGTCACACAATGAGTGAAGAAAAGAAGCTATGCAATTGAGGAGCAGCCTCGACATAGCTGCCTTGAATTAGGCTAACTTGAGAGTTATAGAATCAAAGATAACCACATCTCCAGTGTAGAGCCTGTAACTTGTGCAATATCGTCCAATGACCACGGTACATGTCCTCAATAACCCTACTCAAGGACGAACCGATCTAGGGCTGCCGAGTGTTTGCGTCTGTCTCAGGGGTCAGGTCCCCTCGTGATGCTGTACTTCTCGTCGTATATTTTGCGTTGCTCAAGTTCAGCCACCGTGAGTAGATTATTGCCTTTTCCACCGTTGAAAGTGTACAGAAGACAGCCCACTTGCGTTGCGCCGCCGACGCCACCGTTGTTGCCTAGAAATTGCCAGATTAGCTTAGTGCTGAGTTTTATGACATTGTGTTCTACCCTTGCTCGTTGACTCAAGAAGGTGGGGAATTCAATAACTTCAGGACCAAAAACAACTAACACTTCTTGAAATTTTCGTTCATAATGGATGCACAAGACGGCTTTCCGTCCTTGCTAAGCAGCGGATCATCGACTCTCTGCGCTCCGAATGCGGTTCTGCAGCCAGCTACCCACTGGACGTAAAAGTCGTAGTTAATTTTCCAGTTGTCCTTCCATCTGTAGCGCGACCTGAAGACAGTCGGGTAATGGTTCTCCGCCGGGTCATGGTAAGTCGTGAATATTCGCTTGCCTTGGTCGCTGGCACAGAAACTCAACGAAGCTTCCCATTGCATGCTGGGGTTGATGTCAGCGTGGCCTGGGAAGTCGGCCTCGTTGTGGCATTGGACATCGTGGGCTGCCCAGGGTTGTTTCTCTCTTCCTTGCTCGTCGAGAGATCTCGGATTAATGGTCGTATCAATTGGAACTGCGTGGCTTGTGACTAGGCGCGCGGCCAGGGCACACATGATCAGGGAGAGAGGAGAGCCGTACATTGCGATATTACGTGCAAAAGAGCGATCCGATTCGAGAGATTGGACTATGGAAGAGAAGGTGTTCTCGATGAGACTAAGATTGGGGTGAATGTATCGTCGGTCTTGTTTATATGTCTTCCGTTTGTCCATCTAGATGGTTGGCTCAGTGGTAATACGGGAAGATGATACAAAGGACCATTGGGGCCAGGCCACTCTGTTGCCAGTGTCATTCAGAAGTCGTTTGCGAGGAAGCCACGGCGAGGTCGGTGCTCACGATCATTCAATGGCAGCTCAATACAAAGAGCTCAATTGGTCGCATCAGCCGGTTTTGGTACTTCAAGACCGAAAGCTCCCATTTTCTTCGCTCCCTTGAATCTTAGCCGGCGTACTGGATCTCGTGTAGGGCAAGCATGCATGGAATGGTCACACTCGGGACGTTCAAGTGTGACCTCAACCACAAGTTTGAGAAGTAACAAAATGCACTCATTTTTCGAATACGAGATCGAGGTGTGTTTGCAGTGCTGTGATAGCTCCGCCAGAATGGGATATTCTATCTCAACTTCCTGCCACAAGTACGAAGGAAGGATACGACAGTCTGCATCGCAAGCAACCATTTGTGTGCCTTTGAAGACTTGAATGCAATTGCGAATCCAATGGCGTCTTTTGCGGTCAAGGAGGTCTTTGTTACAATCCACCTATGATAGGTACATAAGGGATTATCTGTTGCGATGAAGGGATGTGTAAGCATCACCAAACCGACATTTACTCGATCGCCATGCTCTACAATGCAAATAGCAACGTATGGCTGCATAGATAGCAAACCTCGCAACGGCTATCAAATAGCAATAGTGGTTTTTTTTTTTTTTTTTTTTTTTGCAAATTCTCAGCGGTATGAATTTGAATTTGAATCCAGGCCATAGCTCTTATACCCAACCACACGCGGTCAAATCTACGTTCAAAGTCTCCATTATCAGCCCCTGCCAAGGGACTGCCTCGCAGCAGGCCGATCGATCGTCTCTTCTTTGGTCCCATAGGTCCACCATCTGCTTCCAGATCTAAGAGCCGTGGTCTAGGCAGAATGCTGCAGTTACATCAGCCCGATGAGGAGAATGGAGCTGAAGCGACGGAAGCCGCCCGGAACGACGCGACGGTCATGCTGTTTCCGTCCCGCATGTCCATGCGTCCATAGACTGACCATGTGCAGCCACGCGAGATGCACAGTTGCATGGATGCCACAGAATGAACAGGCATCTAGTGCAAATCAATCCGTGCTGCCGATCAGAAGAGGAAGCTAGCTGCAAAGACCGACAGGTACAGAGCGGTTCAAGTCAGGAAGGCTTGGATGTAGAATAAGAAACTCGCCAAGTACTACTCTCTGATGTCTACTATACACAAGTACGAGTACGCGAACTGGCCGAGTAATTCTAAGTCCTGTATGAAGAGTGAAATCTCTTGAATCTCTCGAGTTTCAATACGACCTTTTTGCACAAGAAATTTTGGGAAACGCAGACTGATCACATCTTGCCGTCCTCGTCTATCGTCATCGCCCAGCTTTCTTCGTCTAGTCAACGCGTGGGCCGGTGGGAGAATTGCTGATTTGGAGAGCTACCAGACTCTTGGCTTTGATCGGGTATTCTGCCCACCTCGGCTTGCTCGACTGTGTGAAGACGGCGAGCACTAACGTCAACTTCGGGAGGTTGTATTTCCTCGGTGTTGGCTGGCTCAAGAGGACTCCAACAGCAGACCCGAGAGAGAGGAACCCGGATGGACCAACGCAACAATTGGAGACTAAAGTCTTGGCTGATAGGGTATGATTGTGAATACGAAAGGACTTTCAGATATAACTCGAGAGTCATGGATGTTGGATGACTTGTGGAGGTGTAGGCCTGGTGATGTTGGCCCAAAGTAATGGTTCTGGTCTCCTGCCATTTCAAGTCTAGCGAGGCTTGGACAGTTAAAGCGGGGGAGATAGTGAGGATGTCGGGTCAGTCAAAACGAACTGAGCGAGAAATCGCGCCTTTGAGCTGCAGAGAAGCAGTTTAATTGAAGTAACCGGGACAGCAACAGTAGTGGTATTCGATTGCGCGGGGATTATGGAGTACCTAATCAAGATTCAAATTTGTAGCAATCATTGTCTGACCCTTTCTGACAGCTTGTTTGACTGTCTTGTAGGTGTTCTTAGTCAGACCAGTGGGTTGAGTCTTCCTCGTCTGTGCACTCCAGCTGTCAATCCAGCCATTCTTATTCAGACTCTGTCAATTTAACTCAATGCTCGCTGCCCTCGTTCCCAGCCCGTCAACCCATGCAGCCGCTAAGCGGGTAAACATTGCATTGCTGACCCGATTCCGAGTAAGAATATGGCAGTCATTGATGGAGGTGAGGCAAAAGAGCCGATGGGAGCCAATTCGGAGTGGAGATTTGGGGCACCTTTCACACTGGGGCTTGATACGACCCCTGTTGACTTTGCAGATGCAGTCGCCAGGAGGTACCTGAAGGGGAAATAAACTCTTTTAACTTTTAGATAGAGTTCGGGTGTTGTCGCTTATTCCCACCGACCTTCTATCCGTAGACGGCAGTCGACGATCAAAGAAAGTCAATACCTCTGACTAACACTTTGGCGCACTTCCTGGTAATCTCCTACACGCTGTGGCCTAGACATCTTGTCTTGAAAGCCGTCTGGTGGCAGGGGAATCTTCGCGCCCCCATGCCAGGAAAAGCAACGCCGTCGACAGCTAGCTCTGGCCTTCCATCGTATTCGACTACTTTGCTGGACAAGGCAGCCTGGGAGTCAAGACGGACCGGCCGCTTGTTTGCTTGGCAGGTGCCTATCAGCATGTCTCTATCTAACCAATAGGTGCTGAAGTCCTGCTTAATTCAGGTACTTGGTCCACTCCAGTCAGTCTTGGCACCGATGCATCGCGCACCAAAAGGACTTTTGCTGTCGCGAGCCTCATCACCGCTTTCAATCTTGTGCCGACCTGCGCTCCGTGAGGGGAGAGTCTTGGGATGCCTCGGCCACCCAGGAGATCCACGTGGGAGTTGTCGTCATGGGCTTGATGAGGTGAGGTTGCATGCAGTTGAGAGCTGCTTGGGCCCCCAGGCCCAACTCATCCGTAGATCCGGAGAGGAAGCTCAATGTTGGTCGCATCGGAACAGTCAGTCATGACAGCAGCAATTCAAGCTGAGTTTTATTGCGCTCAATCCTTCTTTGCGCCTATAACAACCACTCGCAAGACTAACATGCGTGGAGATGGAAAGAACCCTATCTCCGGATGACCAACGGATAACTTGCGACATTGATCACGCGAACAAGTGATTGCATACCTCGTATACGGATATGCTGCTATCTTCGAGAAGACACCAAGAGGGAGCAAAACGAAGCGGCCCAAGGAAAAAGAGGCCATCCCGGAGAAGTGGACTTCCAAGTCCCGCTATTCCTGCGCCGTGGCTGCGAAGCTTCCCCGGACCGTTGTCCGCCAAGGCCATACTAATCCCGGGACCTGCCCTTTCGGGATCCCCGCCAAGAGCCTCCAAGAACACTCAAGCGGGTGGCCAATTGAGCAGAACTGTCGCCCGGAATTACTCGTTAATTATCGCTCACTGCTACGTCTATGGATAGTTGGGTACCTCACTTGTACGGAGTACTCCTCACTATGTGATGTTACCCTGCCGCCGTTTGTGACTGGCCGGCAACAGTTGCTGTTGTTTGCACCGCCCGCTTGTCTTGCATCCGGCAACATGGCCTAGTACATGTTGCGGTGCAGTGAGCCTGGCATGTCTTAGTCGCATCCGACTTTTCCATGGTTGCAATTCCACGAGGAACATTTGCTGAACCAACTCTCGTCCCCCTGGTAGCGCCGAGACAATGCCCAGATCGATGGACTCCAGCAGTCCCAGGCGCGAGCAGGCATCCCGACATGACTGCATATCGAGCTTCCATGACAGGAAGCAATGACTAGCAGACACGGTTGGGACTTTGGTTGCTATGGTCCGTCCATACTAATCTGACCCGGTCAGGATATAAATCCAGAACCATGCCCACCTCTCATCAAACAGTTTGTCTTGATCTCCAAGGGAATCCAGCCTCCAATCCACCTCCCTCGCTCATCTCAGTCCAATCCTCCCTTTCAAATACGCAAAACACGCTCAGAGTGTTTGCATTGGACATCACGCACCATGGTTCGCGCTTCATCCTACCTCGGCTCCCTTGCCGTCCTCGCCGCTTCGGCGATGGCCAAGGAGATCCAGATGAACGACGCCATCTCGGCTGAGTTCTACGACTCTGGCAAGGTCCACGAACAGGTCATTGCTGCTAAGAAGGTAAGCTCAAAACTCCACTGATTACTCTAGGAACATGGACTGACGAAAAACACCAGGCCGAGTTCGCCCGCCAGAAAGAAGCTGGTGCCTACAACAGTGAGGTCTGGCCCGAGCTGGGTTACACCCCCTGTGTAAACGGTTGGGCCGAGGCCGTCGTTGGAGACAGGAACAACACCTTCAGGTGCCACAACGTAAGTTCCCACCAGAAACATGGCTCTTGCCGAGACACTCGAGTAACACACTCTAGGCCGACTTGTACTCCTTTGTCAGCCACGCTGCTCTTGGTGGACCCCTTGCTGAGGGTTCTTCCTCGTGGGGATGGACCAACGACGATGGTCGTGAGTTCGTCGCCATCGGCCAGTACGAGGGCACCGCTTTCGCCGAGATTCTCTCGGACGGCAAGCTCGTCTACCTCGGCCGCCTGCCCCAGTACTCGGCACCCTCTGAGTGGCGCGAGATCCGCTCCTACAAGCACTACATGGTCATCGGCTCCGAGGCAGTCGGCCACGGCATCCAGATCTTCGACATGAAGAAGCTCTTGGACATTGACCCCGCCAGCCCCGTCGTCTTCGACGCCAAGGCCGACTTAACCGGCCACTTCAACGCCCTCCTGCCTCTGGGCCGTGCTCACAACGTCGTCATCAACGAGGAGCTCAACTACGGTGTCGCCGTTGGTGCCGCGCCCCGTACCGACCCTCTTTGCGCCGCTGGTCTGAACTTCTTCGACCTGACGGACCCCTCCAACCCCGTCTCTCTGGGTTGTGCCAAGGACGATGGATACGTCCACGACGCTCAGTGCTTGGTCTACCGTGGACCCGACAAGCGCTACCAGGGCCGTGACATCTGCTACGGCTACAACGAGGATACTCTCACCATCTACGACGTTACCGATAAGGCCAACGTCACTAACATCATCTCCCGTATCTCGTATGAGGGTGCTTCCTACACTCACCAGGGTTGGGTTCTTGATGTGAACAACCAAGAGTTCCTTGTCCTCGATGACGAGCTTGATGAGGTATGTTGAATCACATTATGTGCACTAAGTTTTTTGCACAAGCTAATCTTGATACTACAGGTTCGCGGCAACGGCCCTGGCGGAGATGGGTACCCCGTCACTTTCATCTGGGACATCAGAGACCTCGAGAACCCCAAGCAGACCGGAGGTGCGTAATCAAAAACAGCCCATTCAAGACAAAACGGGAAACTAATAATATTACAGAGTTCAAGCACCCTACCAAGGCCATCGACCACAACCAGTACGTCATCGACAACTACATCTACCAATCCCACTACGGCGCCGGCCTCCGCGTCCTCGACGGCACCTCCATTCCCACCGACCCCACCGGTGCCGGCGTCTGCGAGGCCGCCTACTTCGACATCTACCCCGAGGACGACGACTTCGAGGGCGGCGGCTACGTCGGCTTCGTCGGCACCTGGTCCTCGTACGCCTACTTCCCCTCAGGCTACATCTTCATCAACACCATCGAGCGCGGTGCCTTCGTCGTCAAGTTGACCGGCAAGGACTGCCCCAAGGCCCCCGTCTGCAACGCCGACAACTGCCTGCGGTCCTTCCGCGCCACTTCCGTCCCTGGCCGTCTTGAGGAGTCGCAGGCTTTCTGCAAGTCATTCTTGAGCAAGCCTGTCAAGGATGCTAGCGTTCTTCCCGCGCACGCTGTGCAGAACTGCGCCAAGGAGGATAAGGTTGCTCAGGCTAGCAGTGCTTGCGCCTGCTTGCCCGCTGCCACCCCTGCTCCTTAAGCTGAATAATGAGAGGGAGGAGAGACGTGAAAACGTTGGATGATAATGCGTGATGCGACGTAAATAATTCTTAGTACCTAGTTTACCTTCTCAGTTAGTTGCCCACGATACGTGGTTTCTGAGAATTTGTTAGCAACAATTGATGAATACATTCAACTCCAAATAAAACTGAAGTATACATGCCGTGAGTGAGATTGCGGACCACGACGCAAAGCTTCTTTGCGCGTCCAAATGTTGCAGATGAATGATCAACTCGACGCAGTCATCTCGGTGCTGCTCCGGGGATCATCTTACAAAATGTCTCTAGAAGTGATCGTCAACTAAGGCCATATTCATCAGGGCGAAGAGCCCGCCATTCCTGTCCCGAAACCATGCACCGGGTTCGTGGAGTCTTACAGTAAAAGTCACAACCCATAACTTTCACTCAACCTTCAAATTTCATATCTTCATAACTTTTCTGGCTACTTACCCTCAACATGTCCTCCGTCCCCCTAGCCTGCTGTATCATTACATGTACTAAGACCGCCTACTTCCCTACACATGTAACAGAGAGGGCGGCGAGTTGAACGTGCAACGGTGTCAGTCTATAGAAACAGAACCGGCAGCTACTACGTTGTCAAAGCCAAGAACCAGACGCAAGATGACGCTGGTGTGCTTCTCTGCGTTACAAACCGCTTCTATTCAGACAACTCCAATACAGACTTTATCGGAAACTTAGCAGGTGTAAAGAACGATCATATTCAGTGCGCATGCTCCAATCAATGTGACTGAATGCACTGAATCTAAGCAGCGGCACGCCCAATTACTAAACCACTTCTTGATGAAGGTTGACAGCTACTTGCCATACTGTCAGCAGAGCAGATCTGGAAAAGGCCGCTACTTTCTTCTTCATTACGAATTCGACAAGATCTCCCTGGTAATTCAGTTAGACTTCTGATTTTTAGAATGGCCATGCCCAGTTGGTGTTTGCCTCACCGCGTTCCTTCCGTACCTCAGCTTGATGATGTATATAAAATTGGCAAAGTGTACGCGCATTGGCCCTGCCCACCAACTTACAAGACCATCGGCAGCAAGCAAAAGGAAAACTACTGATTAAGCTATAACAATTGAGGAAAAGAATCAGATGAGCCCCACATCCCCAGGAGTTCTTCGCGTTTAAGGTGTGCAACAAGCTCAGAACTTGCATGCGACCCACGGACCTTGGTGCGGCGATCTTGAAACGCGCCCTTGAAACATCAAGAACGGCCATCGAGGGTCGTCCCGAGCTTTCTTCTCTACAGCGACGCAAAAATACATCAGACCAAACTTTCTCTTCTTATCACAATCATCAAAAACAAAACCAACGACTATCAATATGAGTATACGCATGCTTCTCGCAGGCCTGGCCTTTGGCCAAACACTAGGCCTCAAGACTCAAGTACCCTTATTCGAGTCGTGTGCCGCAAGCCCGCTCCTCCCAGACTCTCAACTCGCCTGCGGCAAACCCACAATCTTGCCCTCCGGGGGACCGCCTGTCCTGGACAATGTCGCCAGAAATCGGACAGCGAAGCCGCCCAAGAAGGACATTTGGCGTTCGGACGAAGGCTGGCAAGGCCCTCACTCCTGCGCGGGAGCGTACTGCGCCTACTCGCGGCCATCCTTCGCCAATGGCCGCGGCATCGTCCTCGTAAGCACCGCGTACAACGCCGAAGAGGCGTCTCATCTAGCGGCACTTGCAAAAGAGTCGATCAAGGGTGAAGGCGATAGCGAGCTGTTCCGCGTGGTGGAGATGCCCGGCAAGGGGCTGGGTGTCATCGCGAATCAGCATATCCGGCGTGGGCAGCAGATCATGGCTCATCCGCCGGCTGTTGTTGTGCACCGAAGGTTTGTTGATGATATCGATCTGGAGAATCAGTACCGTCTGCTTGATGTTGCCGCCGGAAAGCTTCCGCGGGATACCCGAAAGACTTTCATGGCGCAGATGGGACAGTCTCGCGAGCATCAATCGACGGGACACAAGGTGCACGATATCATGCACACCAACTCATTTGAGCTGGGTCTTGGCATCAGAGATGGTCATCACTTTGGGAACTACCCAGAAGTCTCGCGTTACAATCATGATTGTAGGCCAAAGTGAGTGACCCAAGTTCCCTTGTGGCTCATGAGCTACACATTATGTTCATTACATGTAGTTAACGAAGCCCAGCGTCGCCTTCTACATTGACGACTCAGATATGCGACACTATACACACGCCATAAAAGACATCCAGCCTGGCGAGGAACTCACAATCTCCTATGTTGACTCGCTCAGTTCCCGCGCCGTCCGCCAAGATCGTGCTCAACGTAATTGGGGCTTCGGCTGCACCTGCCAGCAATGCAGTCTCTCCGAAGCCTTTATCCGCTCTTCTGATCAACGTCTCGGCAAGATGTGGCAAATCGAGCAGCAAATGAGCCACTGGAACGGCGCAAAGGTCGACGAAGAGATGATTGAGGAGCTTATTTCACTTTACCGGCAAGAACAGCTTGACCAGTCTCACGGCTCGGATGCTTTCAGACTTGCTGCGCTGAACTACAACTCCTTGGGAATGGAGAAAGAGGCGCTTGAGTATGCTAAGCTTGCTGAAGAGCAGTTTATGCTTGAAAAGGGTCCACGGGCGAAGCAGGTACAGGATATGAGAGACTTATTGCGGGATCCGAAGGAGCACTACAGTTGGCGACAAAGAGTTTGATTGGTGCTGAAAATGCGTCTTCTTACCCAAGTTTGGATGTAAATTGCTTTGAGAAAATAGCCTTTCATTTACCAAAAGTTCATTTCAGTCATGTTTAGAGCTTCTGGCCAAACTTGAACTCGTCCCTCTCATGACTCTTCAAGTGTTCAATGAAAGTCTTCGATTGAGACAGGCTACATCTCAGAACGGGCGACTCTCGACTTCTTTCTTCAGATCATCATTGAACTGGTTCCATCCAACAAGAACCTTCTGCCTGAAACCCCACATTGGTGCCATAATAAATGCCAAGAGGCCACGAATCTCCTCGACCTGAATGAACCTGGTGCCCCCAGAGTTTTGCTCACTCGGATTGAACCAAAACTCATGTTTGCCAGTGAACAAGAGCGGAACTGACCCCACCCAATGGAGCGTCTCACTTGTGTTTTCCTAGTTATTTGAAGAGAGTCAGTCAACTCAATCACAACTACCTTACTGTAGACAGCAAAACCCATCTAGCGGAGAAGAACTGAAAACTGCTTACCACGATGACTGGGCTGAATGCCATCCCTCCCATGTCAACCTTGATCTTATCGCCATCCTTGAGCTCCCAGGGATCCTTGCCCGGCTCAGTCGGCTCGATAGTCCACTTCTGACTCCACTGCTTGTATTTGCTGAACTCCAGAAACTAATTAGACGCAAAGTCAGCACTGAGCTCTACCAGAAGTTTCTATCACTTGTCCGAAACGCGCCTCGGGTTCGCTCTATTTCACAGTGTCCATACCACTGATCTCACGGCCGACGGCGGGGCCTGGATTTCAATCTCTGCCGAAATGCTTTGCGTTTGACCCATGGCTACGGTTCTTGATCTAAATTTAGCTTCCGTAGGGTTTTCTGACAGATTTGGCTCTTTCGATTGAACGTGAATCTCTCGTGCTGGGAATTGTTGGATGGATAGCTGAATCTACTACTATCGTGTCTTTCAAAAACAACATCGGAAGACGAGCATCTGGGGTGATTGAGGGAAATACTGGGTTTATATACGTTTTTGATACGAATTAATAGATAACCGCCCATTGGTGGTTTTCTGCTGACTGCATAAACATATCTCACCTTCGCTTAAGCCACCGGGTGGCTACCAGACCGCGATCGGCTAGGCTGGCACTGAGCCCCGGGCTGCGCCGCAGCCACGATCTATCAAACTGAATTCCACCGGCTGTCAATTAGTCCGGAAACACACAGCTCCAAACCCCAAACCCGCGCCAGCCAAACGATAACAGATTCAGCCAGCCATCTAGGGTCCTGTTTCCCCGAATCCCAATGTTCCCATTATCGAGTCCGTTTATTTGGATCTCTTTGACCTACTCCTAGACTCCGTCACTCAAATACCCATGGAACACAAGACTTGCTCATTGGAACTGCGGCCGCTCGGAAGCGAGCACCCACATGTCGTTGTGGGTGAAGACACCGGCGTGGTTTGCTTCCTTCCACGGTGTGTCAGGTCTCGCAAGACACCAGTCAAAGTTGCGCATCAGCTGTTCGATGTGTTAGCTCACGGGTCATTCAGAAGATGCGTGAAGGGATGCTGTGCTCAGCTTACCTCAAAAATAGTCTTGCCAATCTCCATCATCGCAATGGGCCGGCCAAGGCACTGATATTTTCCATACCCAAAGATGAGTTCATGCACCCGATGCATATTCACCAACCGCCTCTCGTCCTCCTCCAATAACCACCGCTCAGGCCGGAACTCGTCCGCATCCTCGCCAAAGATCTCTTTGCTGAGGTGCATCGGCCACGCCGCGGCATTGATGTTCGTCCCGCCGGGCAAGAACACCGACTCGCCGTTCACGACGACCGTATCGCCTCCATCCGGAACCCGCTTGGGATCCATATTCGTCACGGGCGGGTGCACGCGCATGCCTTCCTTGATGACGGCCTGCAGATACGGCATCCGCCTGTTCTCCGCGTCCGAGACGATGCCCGACGGCCGGGAGCCAATCTGTCCGTCCCTGACGTACCCGTCAATCTCGGCCTGGAGCTTCGCGTAGACGCGGGCGTGGGTGAGGAGGTAGAGCATGATGATGCGCAGCGACGCGGCGGTGGTGTCGGACCCGGCAATCATCTGCAGCGTCGTCTCGGAGAGGATCTCGTCCTCGCTGAGGCCGTGCCGGATAAATGAGGCAATCATATCGGACCGCTTCTCCGTGTCGCGCGCCAGGCGCTCCTTGATGATGGCGCGGCCGTTGGCGAACATGCGGCCGAAGCCCGAGGCGTCCGTCTCCTTGGGGCCGAGGAGTCGTGCCACGATGGGCTTTTGCAGGATCTTATAGAGGCCCAGGCCGATCTTGTACGTAAAGATTGTCATGCCGACTTCGGCTGACTCGGCGACGCCAAACATGTCCTCATCAGCGCGCAGGTCGCCAAAGGGCTTGCCGTAGCTGATGTTGCTGATGACGTCGAGCGTAAGGTACTGCATCTTCATGGCCAAGTCCATGGGCCGTGCCGCGAACTCTGTGGACATGTACTTTGACCGGATGAGCTGGACCAGCTCCGACACGTGTGTGTCGACCGAGTCCTCTAACGCGAGGTTCTCTTTACCAGAATACTTTGATGGTGGTTTCGTCAGTACTGGCATGGTCCGTATCAGACTAGGTAAGTGAAGATCGTCAAAAACTTACCCCGGCTCCCATTCGTTGCCTCAGCACCCTGTGCTTCTCCTCGTCCATCTCACTAAAGACGTGATCATTCTCCGACATGTGCCGGCACGCGCGGTAGTACCACTCCGTCCGCGTGTACGGCGACCGGATGCCGCTCATGTAGACGAGAAGCTCGGGCGAAGAGGTGATCAGGTCGTTCGGGCCGACGCGAGCGATCGTCCCTAAGAGGATGGGTTCAGCATTGGGCTTTCTTTCAATGTTCAGCTCGGGCCATGCCGCGAACTTGGCAGCATGGTCGATCACGACGCTTGTAAGGTAGAAGACGGTGAAGAGAACTTGGGGAAGAAACCCTAACGGATGGGAAGGAAGAAATGGCTTACCGTATTTCCTGCATACTTCATCGTACTTCAGGTGAGACTTGAAAGTCAGAATGGCCCAGGCATGCCACGCCTCTGTCCAGCCGCACAGGACCGGGCCCTTGAACGCCCGGAGTCGATTATACGTCCTGATCTTCTGGCCGACGTACACAGCTACCAAGATCGCCGCAAAGAGCCAACGAAGGCCGTACAATTGTGAAATGAGACCCATCTTTGTCAGTCGCGAGTCCTTCTTAGTATGAGAAGAGGTGCGATGTATGAAGGAGTAAAAGGGAAGGTGATCAACATGTGGGATTGGGAACTGGCCCTGAGATGTAGTAGTCCCGGGACGGCGGCTCAGGAACTTTAAAGAGCACTTCGAAGGGAGCCTGTCTAGCTTCGGTACCGGGGCCTACGGTCCTCGTGGGATTTTATGAATCTGATGGTATGCCATCATCTCGCTTGGGCGCGAGGGCCTCATAGTGGGCAGTGGCGCTTTGAAGAGCTGGGGTGGGAGCGACGCCGAGGGAGAAAAGGGAAATGTCAGGTTGAGTCGTGCGTGCCGATCCCGTATCCCGTTAATTTTTCCCTGGGCTGGAGCTCAGCTGGCTGTTCCCGGGAAAGGGGCTGAACGGCAGTTGAGCGTTGAGCTTTGACGATGAGATAATTGATAAGGAGTGAAAGGGACCCTCGTTGGACCGGGACCCCGGATGCAGTCAAGGGTCACGACAGCCAAGGGCCCCATCGGGGGTTCAGCAAAAAGTCGGGAAAAAGCCACTCGGCGTCATATTGTTCGTTTCTGGTAAACCGTACAATCTGGTTTGCTTTTTCCTTCCTTTCCTTTTGCCCCCTTTTCAACCGGTGAGGACACGGGGGCAAACGGGGCTGCGTACTCATCTCCAATGATATTGAAGTGATTTGGAGAACTTTGGGGTACTTTGGAGTTGGTGTGTGTAGCCAAGAGCTCGAACTTGTTCCCATCTAGTCCTGTTGCATATGTAAAGCATCGTGGGCCGGCGTCATTGCGAGTCTGGAACTCCGGTCCAAGATGGATCTCCGGCCAAGGAAAGGGGGACTTTGGAGTTCAAAAGTCCAGATGACGTGGACCTCAGGCCAGATTACATGCTTGGTATTGTGGCCACTGAGTAATCCCATCATTCATCTGAGGGGTATTTGTCCAGAGAATAGTTGATTGGACTCGATCGCACTCAGCTGATCGTGCTCGATTTCCAACGTTCGAGTCTCATGCCCGGGGCGCACAAAAGCAATGTTCTGTCGGTGATATCTTTTTTATGAAAAAACAAAAAACGACACTACTGAATGTTGTATCCGTGCGCAGCTCTGCTCCCGGACCTTCGGATTCCTCCCGACCGTTACCTTAAGGCTTAAGTAATCATCCCTCCCTAGGCATCAACGCAAGAGAGCCTAATGCCGTTTTCCCATCACGACTATTCGTTGTTGAAACACATATTCAACTGGCGCTTAAACTGCACTTAACACAAGCCTTAATTATGGGCCGGTTTATGCGTGGTTGGCGATAAGAGGGGACCCGAGTCTTTGACTGCCCGTTTGTCTTGAGGTTCCCGTGGTTCGAGGAGGAACCAAGGGCCCGCGGGATCCCAGAAGGGGAAATAATCGAACCCCCACGTTGCATCAACCGCTGCGAGCAGCGGACATCCCAGTTGTCCGCCTAGGAAACCCCCGTCATCTGGCCAACTCCCGAACCTCACTTGAGGTTGCACCAGCAAACATCTACTCTCTGGTGTGGTCACATTGAACCATACGAATCAGGGAACTTGTGAAAGAGACAACAAGAATGACAAAGAGCTGTTGTCACATCTCTAGATTTTATCCCAACTTGAATCAGATAGTGTTCAATTGTGTTCTGCCCGTACAGAAGTGGCAAGCATGGGTATATGCATCACGCGAAACAAGAGAACCAACAAAACACCAAACCAACAGAACTCGGAACCAACACAACCTTAATTGAACCTCTTTAATCAAGATTTGACTCCAAAACCTTGATGCCTTCAATGCGCAACTTTATAGAATTTCGTAGTCCTTTTTCGATGTGTTGATGCGTTTTCAGCTTTTAAGGCTCAACATGTGGTTCCGAAACTACATGCCCTACAAATACTTACATCATGAAAGAAACACATCGGAAACCTCAACCGGGACAAAATACCCAAATGCCTGTCGTGATCAGCATACTAGGCAGGCCAGGATCAGAGAAAGGCACACAATGCCGCCTCCTCTCTCAGAAGTTCAGACTCTCGCACATCAGCATCGGCGACGTCCTCCGCGAGGAGATGGAACGCGGGGAAGAAAGCCCCCACGCAGACATCATCAGAGCAAACATGCTTGCGGGGAAAATAGGTCCGATTGAAATCACAATGGCTATTCTCAAGAACCGAATCACGAAGTTGATGGAGGGTGGTACACAAGTCTTCATTCTAGATGGTGAGTTGCTCCTGCATCATCCTCACGTGAACCTATATTCCAGAACGTGATCTAAACCGAACCAAAAGGATTCCCAAGATCAATAGAGCAATCAACACACTTCCAAACCCTCATGGGCCCCATAAAATCCCTCCTCGTGCTCCAATGCTCCCCGGAAACCAGCTTCCATCGCCTCCTTCCCCGCGGCCGATTCGACGACCAGACGCAAGCAATCCGAAACCGCCTCCTCACCTTCGAAACCACAACCTCTCTCGTGGTAGACGACTTCCGCAAACACAAGAAGCTGACCGTCGTCGACGCGGAGCCATCCGTCGCGAAAATCCACGAGGGACTAGTCACGATAGTCTCTAGCGTCGCTGAGCTCCTGCATTAGCGCCGCGCTGCTGCTGCTTCTGCTGATGCTGCTGCACAATTGAAATTGTTTGTGTGTTTTATGTATGGCACTGTTGTGATCTGCAATGTCGTGTTTTGCAGTAGGGTAGCATCTGCCCAGTCAATGGCATCAAACTTTAGGTACGCTCAGTCTTAATCTTGCACTTCCTTGCGCTCTTAGCTCACTTTCACGTATAGCTAGTTTGACTAGGGTGGTGTGGGTGGCAGGGCTGGGAGTCGAGACCACGCGAAACTACCTATCAGGCTGTCACTGAGTGATGAATATGCTTTCTCAAGCAAACATTTGTAATGTGCATTAATATGCATTAGATCATTCTATTTTTGATAATATTATAGCATTCTGAAGTAAACCCGCTCAATCCCATTCCTGCGCCTGTGGTGCCTTAAAACTCCAATTCATAATCATCACTGATAGATGTGTTTACTGCTCAGCAGTCTCGCCCTCAACCTCAACCGCGTTGATTCTTGACGCCTTCTTCTTCTTGTCCTTGAGAGCCTTGCGGCCGGAAACAGGTGTGATCTGGGGAGGCGGGACGGGTGCTACCAGGGGGACTGTAGCGACGGGTACCGCAGGAGCAGGAGACGGGGCAACAGCGGGAGGAGCAGCGACTGCGGGCGCCGGCTGAGGAGCCGGAACGGGAGCAGGAGATCCAGCCTGGGGGGCAGCGCCGTTGGGGTCAGCAGCCGGGACAGCGGCGGCAGGAGGTTGAGGAGCTTGATCGGGCCACGCTGGCGCGGCAGCAGGTGGAGCCGGAGCAGCTGCAGGAGGAGCAGGGACAGCGGCCGGAGGTGCAGGGACAGCGGCGGCGGGAGGAGGAGCAGCAGCAGGAGGGACTGCGATGGGGATGGCGTTGGGGTTGGCAGGCGTAGCAGGAGGAGGAGCAACGGCCGGGACTGCAGCGACGGCGGGCTCGGAGTAGATGGCGATTGCCTGGTCCATCACAGACTCGATCTGAGCTCTGCCCTCAGCTGCGATTCTCTGCCCGACTCTGGGAACCTTTTCCTCGAGCGCGGCAGTCAATGCCATGCTGGAAATCTTCTGCCTCTGGAGGGACTCCAATGCAACACCACTGACGCCAAGGTTGTCAAGAACAGGCTTGCGGGAGACTAGGTCGTTCACGGTGACAGTCGTCTGATCGATGAGAGCGTCGGTAGTGCGGCGAAGCCTGGCAGCTCTGAAGGCACCAAGGTCACCAGCAGACTGGATGTCGACTGTGGCCTGATCGGTAGCCACCTGGGCTTGCTGAGAGAAGATGAGGAGGTTATTTGCCGTGACTGGGCCACCATCCAAAGAGAGGACTGCAGCATCGACGTTGGCAAGTGATTCGGAGACGGGAGCCAGAGCTCGCTCAATGGTGTCGAGATCACCTGCAGCTCGCTCCTCGATCTGGATGATTCGAATAGGCTGGAGAGGCGCGGCAGTGATGATGGCCGCCTGAGCGAAGAGAGCAAGGGTCAGGCGCATGGTGACCATTTTGATGTGAAGATAACAGACGAAGGGTCTGAAGGGGTTCGAAGAAAGTATTGAGGCTTTGGGAATAACCAAGCTATTGTTCTTGAGATCCTTGTCTGATGCTCCAAAAAAGATAATCTCTTCCGGTGGGATATCGAATAGGTTTATAAGCTTTGGTCAACCAGTCTGTGGTGATTGAAGCTTAGATCACATCCAGGACCAAGATGGGGAGATGGACCTTCGTTAGATCCCGTCTGCGCCTGGAACGTGGAACCGTGAGACACGTCCGTATCGTGAGGAAGTCGATAATCCTTGAGCTTGCAGTAGCTCACAACTCTAGAACGCTGTCTCCGGGCTGGGAAGCAGCCTTCGCGACTCCAGCATCTGCGTCCCCGACGCAAGGATCCTCTGGATGCAGACCACAAAGGTCTGTGTTGACGTCCGTGACTCTCGGCCGGGAAGTACTGGTCTGCAGCCATTACCCACTTTTGACAGTCTGACAGGTACGAGACAGCTAAACGGTCGTGAACCGGCGGCCGAAAGGAGGATTAAGCTTCTGT